AGACAGATATTGGTCCTATATCGGCCTGGTGATATTGGCCCAATATCTGACATATAAATGTTTTGCCAATATTGGGCTGCTATTGGACCAATATCTGCCTATATTGGTCAATATTGTCCTGGTGATATTGGCCCAATATCTGACATATAAATGTTTTGCCAATATTGGGCTGCTATTGGACCAATATCTGCCTATATTGGTCAATATTGTCCTGGTGATATTGGCCCAATATCTGACATATAAATGTTTTGCCAATATTGGGCTGCTATTGGACCAATATCTGCCTATATTGGTCAATATTGTCCTGGTGATATTGGCCCAATATTGTTTTGCCAATATTGGGCCAATATCAGCTTGATGGGTGGGTATCTAGATAACCCTGTGCCAATAATGATGTTCGGAAAATATACCCTGGGCCAATAATAATGTTCGGAAAATATACCCTGTGCCAATAATGATGTTCGGAAAATATACCCTGTCCAGCGGCACGTCCCCAGTACCTTTAACTATTCCAAGCTGCAATCCTCTTCACGCGGCGTTGCGCACGTGCAGCTGTTAAATAATTTCAACAGCGTATTAAGAAGGTACTTAATTAACTTTTTTGCCTTCTTAATACGCTCTTGATAATTTTACACACAGGTCCCATAGCTAGCGCATTGCTGAATAAGCTAGGCGCTCGACTGACGGTGATCATTGGAGGCTTGTTGGCATCGGGTGGTCTCATTAGCGGTTACTTCGCCCAAAGCATCTATCACATCATCATCTCGTTTGGATTGGTAACAGGTATAGTGATTTCTGCTTCGTCCGGCCTCGGATAAAGGGGCGCATAGCTTGAAATACACATCTTTTTCATCGCTTAATTGGGACCGCCGCTTAATCGGGACACTTTAAACTTACTATCTCACGAATAAATTGGAAAACTCCATAATTGTAGACAAATTGGGGCTCAGCTATCAGCGGACATTTTACTGATTACTCCCGCACAACAATCGCCACAAATTCGTGCTGTTATAAAACTGCTTATAAAACAGCAGATGAACAGCAAACGTGTGCCCGCTATCTTTAGATACTTCAGATTCGCGATAATGCAATGTTCAAACGGTCCCACAAAACAAGTGGATGTAGGCCTATAGTTACGTGACGCAAATATTTATAGACCGGTAGGCCTACCTATCTCGAAATGTACACAAAGATAATTAACATAGCGTAGAGACAGCTCGTTCTGCGCTATCACTTACCACCATGGTAATTTGTATATTTTACAGGTCTCGGCTTTGGAATTGCCTTCACTCCATGCATGGTAATGTCAGGAACCTATTTCAATAGATGGCGCTACCTGTCTACAGCCGTCGCGTGCAGCGGCGGTGGATTTGGAACTCTTGCCTTCTCTTTCATCTATAGCAATCTGACGGAGGCTTATGGCTGGCGCGGCTCTATGCTAATAAACGGTGGCATAGCCCTGAATCTCGTGCTCTGTGGTGTCCTCCTGCGGCCTTTGTCCAACG